CGTCTGTCTGTAATGTAAACATTTTCCCGAAATCTGGACATGTAAGTATCGGTGCTGATGTGAGTTTTTCTTTTAGCTTTTGAAATGCCTCCTCTTGCGTAGGTCCCCACTGAAATTTTATACCTTTTTTCAGGAGATTGGTGATTGGTTGTGCCAGTTTTGCAAAATTGGGGATGAACTTCCTATAATATGAGGTTAATCCCAGGAATCTTCGAACAGATTTCGTGTTACGTGGATGCTCCATCATAGTTATGGCCTCTACTTTTTCAGGATCGGGTTGAATTCCCTTACGGTTTACCAGGTGACCTAAATACTTGAGTTCTGTCCTACAAAAAATACATTTTTCCTTTTGTAGTTGTAACCCATGTTTGCGTAGCCGGCGTAGAACTTCTTGCACGTTCCTTAGGTGCTCTTCGAACGTTTTACCTATTATGATCACATCGTCTAGGTACGCAAATGCCTTTTCGTCCATGTCTGGACCTAATATTTCATCCATGAGCCTTTGAAATGTGGCTGGGGCTGAATGAAGTCCAAAAGGTAAAACCTTAAACTGAAACAAACCCCTTCCGGGGACGGTAAATGCTGTTATTGGTTTACTTGCCTTATTTAACGGAACTTGCCAGTAGCCCGCTTTTAAATCCAATGTACTGATATAATGTGCTTCCTTTAATCGGCTTAATATTCCTTCTATAAACGGTAAAGGGTATCCGTCTGGTACTGTCACTTGGTTTACCTTTCTGTAGTCGACACAAAATCTGTATTTACCCGATGACTTTTTTACCAGCACGATTGGTGAGCTCCAAGGACTGCTTGATGGCTCGATAATTCCGTCTTTTAGCATCTGATCTACCTCTTCATTGATAATCTTTTGCATGGCGGGGTTCCGTGGATAGTATCGTTGCTTTTGTGGTTCGGCATCCGGCTTTAAGGTGATTTTGTGTTCCACTGCATGTGTTTTCCCTGGCGATGTCTCAAACTGTTGCAGTTCTTCTTCTATGAAGTTATTTAACCTTTGTAGTTGTTCTTCATCTAATCCCCTAATTCCTGCTAAGCCTGGTTTCTCTAGTACACTTAACTTAATTACCTGGTCTGGAAACAGTAACTTTCGTTGTGCTGTGTCTATGATGATTTGATGCCGTTGTAGAAAATCTAACCCTAAGATTAAATCATTGGATAATGTTGGGATATATTGACAATAGATTTCCGTGGGTCTGTTGTCAAGGTACACTGGTATCTGGTAAACTCCTTGCGTCTGTATTATGGACCCTTCGGCTAGTTGTACCATATCTGGTTCCTGGTGTATTGGTACAATGTTATTTCTTGTCAACACTACTAGTGTTCTTAACCCCATGTATGATTTTGTAGCACCAGTATCTATCAATGCATATATTAGTTCCTGGAATACCTGTATTTCTAGGAATAGCCGGCCATCGTTGATTGCGCTCAATCTGTTTTCTGGAAAGTATTTTATTCTGGACGGTATGACTGGAACCATTTGTTTGTCAGAGTGATCCGCCATTTCGGGTAAAGGACCTCTTGCATCTTTTACTGGCGTCGCTCGTTTCCCGAATAAGAGCAGCCACAGTCTTGGGACCTAACCCCTTCGGTACCGCATCTTGAACAGAAAATTTTTAAATTACCTCTGCAGAAACGCCGATGATGGCCTCTTTCTCCGCATCTCCAGCAAACTTCTTCTCGTCGGTAAGTATTTCTTTCCTGTGTAATGTTCTCACTTTGTCTCACAGGTGATTCGAACCGGCCTTCCATTGGACTCGGGGTACGGGTACGGCGTGTATATGTCACTGGTGTTGTTCCGGGTGCAAATCGAACTCTTGGAGTTGTATTTGACTGGTTGTCCGTCTTTCGTAGCTTCTCGAATTGCCCTGCCAATTCTAGTAGCTCCGGTAAGGTCTGGAAGTCTTGCGGTCGTATATAATACTTGTAATCTGTTTGCAGATTCTCATATATTCGGTTCATTTGGCTCCGCTGTGACATCTCCCCATGTCTTCGCATTAGAGTCAAAATATCGGTGACGTATTCCGTTGCGGATTCTCTTCCCTTCTGTACTCGACTACGTATCTCTTCTTCTAGGGTATACTGGTGTCTGTGTGGAATGAAATAAAGTTTAAAGCTGTCCAGTACGTCTTCCCAATTTTTCCATGTGCTCCTATTGTTTCTATACCACAGGAGAGCTCTTCCCTTCAGGAGTTCTGGTAACGCCAGTAGTAGCTCTCTTCCGCTGTATCCGTAGCATTCACGTAGTTCCTCAATCCTTTCCGTAAATGCCAGAGGATCACCACTACCGTCGAATTTAACTCCCCATTTCCTTACTTTGTCGCAGATATCTGCTGCCGATGGTGTATCCCGTTCTCTTCTTTGTTCCCCATCTCTATTTGTCGCATTACTTACTACCTTTGGTTTGATTTCTAATGGTAGAATATGCTGGTTTAGATCGCTGGTGGGTTTTCGAATTGTTCCGGTGTTCTCCGCTTCTGTATTCTCCGCCCTTTCCATCAAATCCATTGACACTGGTGTAGTTGTCTCCTTTGCCCTGTAGTATCCAACTAATCTTGCCCTTAGTTCCTCTACGGTACCTTCTGAATCCAATTGTAGGCCTTCTAATAATTGTACCAATTCGACCTTTCTCAGGTGGTAAATCTTACTGATTCGCACCTCTGTGTCGGAGGGAGTCTGGAGCTGATCCATCTTTGGCATAGTCCGGTAAGTATCTCTACTTTAACTAAAATAAACTTTGTAAAGCTAAAAGAAATAATTTTAGGTGCTGGAAAAAATAAAATTAAATGCTTCTGGAAAAAAAAATAAACTAAATTGTTGAAATAAACAAACCTACTATATACACAAAACGAAACGAATTCTGACCTGTATACTCGGGCGCCAATTCTGTAAGGGTTTTTCGGTGGGCACGCGGGTAGCTACAGTCGTGCCCCAGGGTTTCTAAATAAAACTTATTTACACACCAGTTTCCTTTTATTTTTGAACACCGTGTATCTATACCACAGAATATAGAATTATTATTTAGAAACCCTGGGGCACGACTGTAGCTACCCGCGTGCCCACCGAAAAACCCTTACAATACTTTCCCCGACTACGTGTTGATTCCCCCCCTTTTTACTATTAGCCACCGCAGGGTGGCGTGTGACCTTGAACTTCGGCCTTGTACATCTACTAGGGTATCTAGAGATACAAAAGAACATAAAGAAATTAACGAATCTGATGATTTAAAAAATTTGAACCATCGTAACCGAAGAATTTGAGGAAGCTTAAGAGTCTAGGAGCTTGAAAAATCAGAAATCCTTAATAATTCCTAGAACCCAGAATTTGAAAAAATGACACTTCATCTGTTTTCTTTTTTGTCTTCTATCTCATTCCGTAAAAATTCCAATATGGCGTCCACAAGAAATATGAAAGTTGTAGCTTGTAGCTTCTATATTTAGCGTGTTATGGAAAAGCTGATAACGGGTTCAGATTCTCCGAAAAAAAGGGCCCATAGAGGTGCTACCGGGAACCCTCCATTTCCCACCGTTTAAACTGGGGGAAATAAAAGCAAAACCTGACATTTCCAGTTTTTCGGTGATTTCTCGGTCACTCAAAGATCTTTCAAAAACTTCAAGTGCGTTTTTTAGCCACAAAAAGAGGCAACTTTCCCCCCATTTAACCGACACTGTACCTCTCATTGTTCTTGATCCCAATAGTAAGCTACTAATTTGGGTTTGATACAGCAGCTTTGGCCGAAACCCCACCCAGTTAAAAAGGGTAAAAATAAAATAAAATAAATACATAAATAAATGCAATTGGATCATTTGCTCCACTCGCTCGCCAGCTCGCTCGTGTCGCAAACGTCTCCCTTCTGAATAATAAGCGTCGTAACAGGCTCCTAATATCATTAAACGAGATCTGCGAGAATTCTATATTGGAATTAACAAAACAATGAGGCATTATTAAGTAAGTACCGTATCGATAGTATCCGCGACTTTTTCTTCACCTACCGATCACCGCCGAGTAAGGTACAATCGTCACTTGATGCGACACCGTTGCCTTTTCTGCTTGAATGAAAAACCGTATACCCATATACGATATACCTATGTAACCACAAACATTTCCAATGTTAAAAAAAGGTAAGAAATGAACGAATTCATGGTAGGAAGAAGAACGGACCGGGAACAGTGGTTGCTGGAGATTTTTCTAAAAAGTTAATAAGAAGAGGAAGCGCGGTAGCGTACAGTATGGAGGTTTACATAAGCAAAAATACAGAAACACCTGAACGGATAAGGAATTAAAGAACACAAAGGAGCTTAAGGTTTGAAATGATATGGAAGTTGGAATAATATGAAAAAGTTTGAGGAAGAGCCTGTGTATCACCAGTACAAGAAGAAGTTAAGGATCCGCAAATCTTAGAATTTTAAGATTTTGAAGAATTAGAATAATTTCAAGAACGAAGCAGAAGCTAAGGAATTTGAAGCATATGAAAAATACAAAGGGAATTAAAGAGTTTCGAAAAAACGAAGAATGTAAGTAATTTTTGGATTTTGAAAAATGTTAATTAAGAACTTAAAGAATTAGGAAAGTATCTAAGGAAAGGTCCAGAATTGGAGAACACGAAGATATCTGAAGAATGAAGAATTAAAAAAATCTCAAAGAATCTCAAAAAGTTTCAGATATAGTAACTCCTACGGTTAGGCGACACACCGTACGTCAGAAAGAATGGTACTATGGACAAAATTACGAAACGCTATGTGTATACAGCAACCGTGAAGTCTTCGACTTTACATGTTAATGGAAAAAAGCCCATTCCTTCCCCATTGGAAAAGAGATCAAATTTGCACATGGATCGCCTTTAATATATAATATGTCGTTTGATTGCTTTTTAAACTTTGATTCTAAATTAATTGTTATTTACTCCAGGTGTTGAAACCAAGGTAAGAGAATCTGTGACGAGCGATATTCGATAAGATACTGCCTCTTGAATGTACAAAAAAGCGTTTTGCCTTTTCATATCGTATCATTTTTATTTGTAAATAACACCTAGTGAAATATACACAGAATTCCCAATGATTAAGCTACTGATCGTGACTGTTCTACTAATGGCAATAGCTGGTATGGTATCAGGAAATTGTAAGACAAAATGTGTCTGTCGCCATGAATGTTACTCAAATGAAAAATACTGGTAAGCTATTGCTTTCCTCTAGTCCACATATTTTTGGCAACGGCTTAGTCTCGTACCATAAAATGGCACCAACAAGACGATCACTGTTTTCTTGCTTTTCAGTGGCCCCTGTGGTTGGGACGAACTGGATTGCTGCGAGGATTAATACGCAACGTAGGAACATTGAAATAAGCACATTTTTCCATACAAAATACGTCTGTGTTAATTATACATTGAATGTAAAAAATTAAATAAAACTTACAATACCAAAAGAAGCCATTTTGTTCATCTACGAACTAGTCCAAGCGGGAGACGTCACTATCGAAAATAAAATTCGAAAACCTCGAATGGACAAACATCAAATTTTTACGATTCCTGGATATCAATTTTCCAAGTTTCAGATTGGCATATATTCTTTTCGCAAATATTAAGAGGCGAAATTAAATTCTAGTGCATCATAGTCTATTTCTTTGACCATTTTACTTTTGGACAACTTTTTAGTGTTAATTTTACGATTTTCCTTTCTCAAATTCCTTTGGAAACCTTCTATAACAGTAGACGCTTTTATCTAATATCCGCCGCATAAACATCCGAGTAGCCGTGAGGTTAGGAAATAAAACAAAAGCGTGAGAATCTCCACAACGCTAGTTTTAACATCCTCGAGCTGGGCCGGTATTGTTCGGCGGAAGGTACCCGGAGGAAACACCGTCTCTAAGTTAATGAGAGGGCATAGAAACCAATTAATGCGAATAACCACGCTAACGATAATCAAATCACGTCGGCTCAACCGTCAGATATCGGATGCGTTTAAAAATTCCCATTCAAGTCCTCAATAATGCGATAAGTGCATATCGAAACAATCCCAATTGCGAAGTCACAACAACTAAGCCGCGAATCGTTAAAGATGGAACACTTCCAAGTACATGTTCAATTAACACGGTCAGTTTTCGACCAACGTGCCGAACGATAAAGGTTAACGGAAAAAGAAAGAATGGAAGTTTCGAAAAAGGCGCTGTCACTTCTGCGCGGCAATTAACTTCCATCAATAGGCGGAGCCATCTCTCACATCGCTTCAAATGTTACGGTGGTTCTTCGATAAGTAGTAAACCGTAAACGAAGCTAAAGTTAAGAACAAATCGTTACAATTTTTGTCATTTTTAAAAAAATGTTAAAATAATGGTATAGAGTGACTGAATTAATTTGCAAAGTCTAATTAAAGTCCTGAAAAAAGGCTGTAAACGCCATTTTAAGGGTATCCGAAAATGTACTCGTGTTTCCAATTTACTTCTCGCAATTTCGTAATGCTACATATAAAACTGTACTCAGACCAACTGCGTTCATTTATGCTGAAATGGAATTTGAACAAACGATAAAACTACTACAAAGATAACTATTGTTATGATCGTGATAGCAGGTTATTGTACATTACATAACCGTAATAGTATATACTGCGTGTCCTAAATTGACGCTATTGGCTGGTTATCGTTAATTTAAAACTTTTAGTAAACGCAATTCGATAAGATTCCGTCTGCTCTTGAATGTGCTATATAAAAGCGTGGCCCTTTCGTCGTGAAACATATACAGAGTTCAAAATGATTAAGCTACTGATCGTGACTGCCTTACTAATGGTATTAGTTGGCATGGTTGCAGGATACTGCACACAAAACTGTTATTGCACTAACAGGGAATGCAAATCACATGAAAATCGATGGTCAGCCCTTCTTTTCCGCTATTCCACATATTTTTGGCACCTGCTTCGTTTAGTACCATAAAATGGCACTAATCGATCAATGTTTTCACTAGCAGAAATAATTGACGTAATAATTGCCTTTCAGTGGCGGCTGTGGCGACATTTGGGATGATAGCAGGTGCTGCGAGAAATAACAAGAAGCCGAGGAACATAGAACGAAAGCATACCTTCTTTCATACAAAATACGCTTGTGTTAATTATAAATTGAAAATGTAAAATGTTAAATAAACGTATAGTTAGTAGCAAATCAGGTAGTGAAAAAGCCATTTTCCTAAAATCTATCGACATTCCCACACTAGTGCGGGAATTGATCACTTTGCGCACGCGATTTGATTAATTTCTACGATTGTAGGAAAAAAGTCGTTTCTAACAGCCGCGCGAAGGTGATTCCGAACCTCAAACATCCTGCTTTCGTTTCAGAATCACCAACTTCAGGAAAATAACTATTTGCTCATCTGAGAACTAATCCAAGCGGCAGACGCAATTGTCCAAAATAAAATTGGAAATCCTCCTGTGTCTCGAACGAACAAACATCAGATCCAGATTCAGGTTTCAGTTTGCGCCCCCCCCCCCCCCAATGTCTGTGAACTAGTTCTTCTATTCCAGTTTCTTGAATTTCCAGCTTTTCATCTATCGCTTCTTGATTCTGAGCACTATTATTATCATAATTTTTATCGGTTGGTACTTGCAGAAAGCATTCCTTCTTCTTCGTTTAAATCGTTTAGACATTGGCAGTCAAATTTTTTAATTTCAAATGGCTCATTTTGGATCTGGTATTCACTTGGTGCACAGGTTCTTTAAATGGGAAAAATTCCTCCCTGCAAGATTACAGTGTGACCAGAAGTGTTTTTATCCAACAATTTTTCGGTTTCGTTTAATGGAAAGTTTCGGAAATCAAATTTGATTTTCGGGTACCAAATTTACTTTGTCAAGAAAAACTGAATATGGCAACGCACCCACCGTTTACCAGAAAAAAGGACCCGATAAAAATAGAGGCAGCTCGTCCTATTGATGGTGCGAGCAAAGTCAAGTGCTTTGCCTTGAAATTGTTATTTTCGTTTATTTTAAATGTTTTTCACGTCGTGGAGTGTATTTTGTCATTACGAGAATATCTGACTTGATAAAAGATTAGATTTCCTTTTGACGTGGAAAATAACGACCAAGATAATAAGAGAAACTACGTTTTACTGTAACTCCAAGAGTATAAACCCCCACGTTGGAATTAGACTGGATAGATAATTATTAATAGAACAGTAGGTGAATATACTCTTGGCGAAGTCGAAGATGTCATAGAAGGATGACGAAGAATCCGGAATGATCGAAGAAGACAAGGAATGCAGCAATTCCCAGAAGAGCAAAGAAACTGAGATAACCGAAGCAGCTAAGGTAAATGCGAAAAGTCGAAGAATGCCGCAAATTTCGGAACAGCGGGGCTCGTAGTCACCAAGCCCCAAAAAACTGCGGAGCCGCTGGCGTGTCGGGGGTCTGGACGCGCTGCGAAGGACTTCCACGTGTTCTGGTAGTCATGGATGACACCCCAAAAGGGCACTTGTGTTGTGCGAGGGTCAGGTGGTGCTGCTGGAGTCGCTCCATCATCATCCGCAGGTGGTCGAGGTGTTCCCCCCCATGAGTCGTGGTGAATTTCCGCAGGTTCGCCGGCAGTATCTCCTGCAGCATTAGCTTCTGAAAGGTAGGTGGGCCGTTCTTTAGTCCGAACGGCATCACCCTAAATTGGTAGCAGGCGCCGTCGGGAGTCGAAAAGGCGGTGAGGGCACGATACTCAGGTGCAAGAGGGACCTGCCAGTATCCATATTTGAGGTCTAACGTGGAGAACACATCAGTTCTTTCAGCGTCTCGTGGATAAGTGGTAGAGTGGCACTTTCGTCGCGGGTGCAGTCATTCAACCTGAGGTAGTTCACGCAGAAGAGAGAGCTGCCATCCTTCTTTTGCACAGTGGCGATTGGGGAGGAGTAGTTGTTCGGTTCAATAATGCGATCGGCCAGCATTTTTTCGACCTCCTGGGCAATGATCGCCTTCTTGGACGGTGAGATTACATAATACATTTTATAGTTAACAAAAATGCATCAAATCTTTGTCATTGAGATAACCTTGTTCCCAGCGATATCAGTGCAAGAATAACGATTTTGATCAAAATCCACGTGGTCGTCAAAAATAGATCAAATTCATGTTTTGGTCAATGAGATTATGCTCTTGGTCATTTTCCCAACGATCTTGGTGGATAAATAACGATTTTGACATGTTTTGATCAAAATCCACGTGAATGAAATTCGATAAGATATCGCGCCTCTTGAATGTGCTATAAAAGCGGAGCCTTTGCGTCCTGAAATATATACCGAATTCAAAATGCTTAAAATACTGATCCTGACTGCTTTACTAGTTGTATTCGTTGGCTTGGTAGAAGGCTGCAACTACCAAAACTGTGTTTGCGCTGGCACCTGTAGCTCAGGCAAAATATATTGGTAAGTACCTAGTTTTCTCTAGTCTAGATATTTCTGGCACTATCTTCACTGGGACAAATTATTGAATAATTTAATTGACACTATTCCTTCTGCCTTTCAGTGGCAGCTGTTCTGGGAGGTTGAAAAAGTGCTGCGACAGTTAATAAGAAGCCTAGGGATATTGAAAGAAGCACCGTCTTCCGTACAAGATGCGGTTGTATTAATTATACATTTTGAATGTAAAATATTAAATAGATCATACATGAAAAGGCCATTTTGCTCATTTACGAAATCTTCCTCTTCTATTTAACAACCCTTCCCTCTCTTTTTCATGTCCCTTTTCCACTTTCCTATCATTCTGTTATCCAAAACGCAACAGCTCCAACCATCTGTTTACAAATTAGTTGACTTTTAGCGATTTACGGATCAAAACCAAAATGGGACGTTTTCGATCCCCCATACCACCCTATATGCACCGCAAATTTGGTCCCAATCGGTTCAGGGGTTTTTTAGTTATCGTGGTCACAATAAACGAACCACACACACACTCTCAGACGTCAGGCTAAAAATTTTTTGGGGTCTGTGTGCTTCAAAACGTCCAGAAAACGCAGTATTGGCATATCGAAAATTTATCGCGATTACAATACTTTCGTTTATACAATACTTCGTATGTAGTCGGAAAGTAAAGAAAACAGAAGGAGGAACTAATGTACCAATGACAACATGGGAGAAGCTTCTGAAGGAGGAACAAGAAGCACAGGCCCAGCTATTGGAGGAGAACCATTACTGGCCACTACCACCCCCACCGAGGGAGATAACCAGTGTCAAGAGTCTCCAGAATGCTTCTAGTGTTTAAGAAACCTTGAAATTTTAAAGAGCTGAGCCATTAACAGAATTCATGAGGCATAAAGAACTAAACGAAAAATTCAATAACTTTATATTCCGAAAACCGGAATGAAAGTGATCAGGTAGACGGTTTTGGGGGAGATACATTCTCTTCTTTTGGAAAAAGGGGGGAGTATTCCCTACTCACCAGAACCGGTGGCGATGGCAATGGCGTTTTACAGAAAACTGGAATGAAAGTGATCAGGCAGACGGTTTTAAGGTAGAATGTAACACCGAGGAGCCTGGGGGATAAGGATCGCTCCCCCCCCCCCCCAAAACGAAAATTCAATAACTCTTTCCTTACAATCATCATTATCACCATGCGACCATTGGAAGTCTTCTTATGCTGGGGGGGAGGAATTTTCATTTTTCTTCGTATTTGCTACTTCGAGTTCTTTTGATTTTTTTCCGATTCTTCAAATTTTTAATATTTTTTTGGTTCCACAAAATTCTTCGGATTCTTCAAATTCAGTTAATTTTCCAAATTTTTTCGATTCTTCAAATCCTTAAAATTTTTCAGATCCATACGATTAAAGTTTTCTGCAAATGCTGCCGATGTTTTCGATTCTTCAAATCATTAATATTTTTGTTTCATATTTTTTTCAAATTCTTTTGATTTTTAAACTTTTTTTTGATTCCATATATATATCTATACGATTCTTAAAATTCTTTGAATTTTTCATTTTCTCCGAATTATTTACGATTTTTCAAATCTTTAATTTTCTTCAGTTACATAATTATATTCAGATTCTACAAATTATTTAAATTTATAAGAATCTTTTTTTATTTTTTTAATTTTTTTTAACCTTCAGAACCTTAAAATTTTTCAGTTTCAAAAGTTTCTTCGAATGCAATGAATTTTTCAATTTCTGAGAATTCTTCAGATTTTCACATTCTCTCTCATCTAATTCATCGTTTGATTTTCAAAATTTTTCAAATTATCCCTTCTCATCAAATCATTTAAATTGGTAAGATTCGTCAAATTATTTGAATTTATTATGGTTTATGCGAATTATTTCGATCTTTCAAATTTTTGAGATCCAAAGATTCTTCAAATTCTTAGAATTTTTTAATTTGTCTTAAAATTTTTTTTTTTATTTAAAGGAATAATGCCTGAACTACAAGGTCTTGTGGCATTTTTGCTTATACAGCAGATAAGATTTACATTTACATGGCATCGATTAGTTGAATGACTCTTAGGAAACTTATTACGTTCTTTGGTTTTAAGAAAGCGGTTTCTAAGTGGTTGCCGATGTTAAAGTTGTTGCGCTGCTTCGTGGTCCTAGGACAGTCACAGAGGATGTGTCTCACAGTTAGTTTGATGTTGCATTGTTGGCAAGTTGGTTCTTCTTCCTTTTTAAGCAGGTAGTCGTGGGTAAGTCTTGTATGTGCGGTTTTCAGTCTTGTTAATATTGTCTCTTCTCTTCTAGTGATATTGCTTTGGGATTCTGGGGGTGTGTGTTTCGGTTTGTAGTAATTTTTTGTGTTCGCTGTTTCTTCCCATTCCAAGTTCCATGCTTTGGTGATACGGTTTTTCTCGAAAACTTCGCTCTACTTATATTCGCCTCTTCTCTTAAATATCTTTGAAAAAAGATATAGGTCAATAGTTTCCCTGACTTCTTGCAATATCAGCGCTCAGGAAAAATGTGCGACCTCTACGGAATACTTACCCCCTTCACCCCTTGGAATATACCGAAAAGTTTCGCTCTACTTATATTCGTCCCCTGAATTTCTTTGAAAAAATACTAGGCAAAGGTTGTGAATCTTGACATATTTGTCACCTTCCCTTCATGCTAAGAAATTCGACCCCAAGGCAATTAAAGGTATCATGGTCATAAAAAGTCTCACTCATGGAATATACTCCTCGAAAACTTCGCTCTACTTATATTCGCCTCTTGAATATTTTTGAAAAAAAATACTGGTGCCTGCCAGGAAAAATTTGTGTCCTCTACGGAATACTTGCCCCCTTCTTCTTTCCAACAGTCTCACCTTTAGAATATACTTCCCGATAATTCGTTCCACTTACATTCTCCACTAAATATGTATATTTGAAAAAAATACTGGTCAAAGGTTTGCTTGCCTGACGAATATTTGCCCCTTTAGAAAGTGTGGTAGACATAAAAGTCGCGCTTGGAATATCAACCTCGAAAAATTCGCCTCTGAATATCTTTGAACTGGTCAAAAGTCGACCTGTCTGACTTGCAATATCAACATCCAGGAAAGATTTGTCCTATCCGGAATATTTTCCCTTTTCCCCTATTCCAACAGTTTCACTCAAGGAATATACACCGCCAAAAATTCGCTCCAGTTATATTCTGCCCATAAATATCTTTGAAAAAAATACTGGTCATAGGTTTGCCAGCCTGACTGTCATTATCAGCATTTAGGAAAAATTTGTCCCCTCCGGAATATTTGCCCCCGACCCCTCCTTCCCAGCATTTGCCCCAAAAAGAATGAAAAGTATCATGGTCATAAAGAATCTCACCCTTGGAATATACTATCCGAATAATCCGCTCTACCTAAATTCGCCCCTGAATGTCGTTCAAAAAATACTGGTCAAAGGTTTGCCCGCCTGACCTGCAATATCAGCATCCCAGGAATTTGTCCTCTATGGAGTAATTGCCCCCTTCCCATCATTCCAACAATTACGCCCCAAGGAGAATTAAAAGTGTCATAGTAAAAAAGTCTCACCTTAAAAATTCGCATCCGGGAAAGTCTCACCCTTGGAATATATTCCCCTGAAAAATTTCGCTCTACTTGTATTCGCCTCCTGAATATCTTTGAAAAACGTACTGGTCAAGGATTTCTCTGCCTGACTCGCATCCAGGAATATTAGCCTCCTTCCCCTCTTTCCAACAATTTCACCAAAAGGATTATAGTAAAAGAAGTCTCGCCCTTGGAATATACACCTCGAAAAACTCGCTTTGCTTATAATCGTCCTCTAAACATCTATTAAAAAAAAGCATAAAGATTCCCACCCCTAAGTTGTGCTTACTGGAAAATTCGCTCTAGTTTTATTCGCCCCTTGATCATCCTTGGGGGTATAGACATTTGTCAAAGCTTTTCCCACGAGTTTCCAATTTGCAAATTTGCGAACGGAGACAATTGTCCTTTTCGGAATTCTTACCCCCTTTCCATCTTTTCAAAAAACTCGCCCCTAGGAAAAATAAACGTGTCATGTTCATAAAAACGCGAGAAATCGGAAAAAAACCGAAGAATGAGAAGCTTCATGGAGCTTGTGGAATTTTAACAAGCTATATATCTGGGGGGAAAATGAAGAACTCCAGTAAAAACCACAGTCCGAAGACTTTAACGCAACATTAACCTCAAGATGGATGTCGAAACCAAAAAAATTGGTTTCTAGTCGATAACCTTTGATTGAGAAGTCTGATCGAAAAAGTACGAATTGATTTGGATTCTACGCACCCAAATTAATAAGAAAAAGTGTTTTCCCGAGAAATTTTGGTGTAGTCGATTTTTGGTAAAAAAGGAAGGTTATACACTGCCTTTTTTTGAGCCCCGTAAAAAATATTGTCTCATAATATACTTCAGTTTCAGATCAGATTCCACACATTTTTTGATTCTTTCCGATTCTTGAAATTCTTTTAATTTTTTTGATTCGGACTTGTAAATTTCTTCAGATCCAAAAGATTCAATTCATTGAATGTTTCAGTTTCTGCCAATATTTCAGATTCTTCATTAAATTCCACAAATATCTGAAACCATTCATCCCATTTTTTCGATTTTTAAAATTTTTGCAATTCTCCAGACCCTTTAAATCATTTAAATGTCTACGATTCTTCAAATTCTTTGAATGTGTCGGTTTCTGCGAATTATTCCGATATACCAAATTTTTCAAAGCTTAAATGTTCTTCAGTTCCATAAGTTTCTTCAGATTCTACAGCTATTTCTAATCTTTCAGATTCCTCTTATTCTGATTTTCAATTTTTTATATTCCTTAGATCCTTCAAATTTTGCAGATCAAAAAGATTCTTCAAAAAATTGTTCCAATATTCCAAATTCATGTTTCACATTCATGATTTGTCAAATACTTTAAATTTTCCTGTTTCCGAAAATTAGTCGATATTTCAGATTTTTTGAATCATTCATATTTTACAGATCCATAAATTTCTTCAGATTCTTCAAATTTGTTTTTTTTTAACTTTGTTGATTCCTGCTTCAAATTTTTCAGATCTATAAGTGTCTTGAAATTCTCAGAAATGTTAATTTTCTCCATATTATTTGAATTTTTCAGATCCTTCAAATTCTTGTGATTTTTAGAATTTTTTTTTGATTCTTCAGAACCTTTACATTTTTCAGATTGAAAAGATTCTTCAAATTTCTTGATTTTTTAAGTTCCTGAGAATTCTCCCGATTTTTTAGA